TGTAGGTTATGATGATGTGTTTGATCTTTTTTTCAATACAAGATCAAACACATGATGAAAATCTACTGGCTGCATGTCAATAAATTCTTGACAACAATAACAAAATGTGAGCTAGTGCTATTCGGTGTGGCGTACACATGGCAATCACATGGTAGATAAAATTATGATCATCAGTACTGGGTCAAATAAATTAAAGAGAACTGAATTTGAACCCGGGCCATAGGCTACCCCCTCTCTCTCCCTCTTCGTCGCCTTACTTTTCCCTCTCTTACCTCCCTGTGCATTTGTATGCCTCGATAATACAAAAAATAAACAATAAGATTATTCCTCTTCCCCTCCTTCTTCCTAGTACATGTAGTAGGAGAAGTATTAGAAGCAGTATCACAATAATAATGACAACAATTATTATTATGGTTGGTGGTGTTACTAATGTTATTTTTGTAATTATCAGGTGGGCTGTATCAGGTCTGGCATTTTGCAAATGTTGATATGTTCTAGCTGGGACAATCTTCTACGAATGAAGCCATCACAATTTTTCATTTTGACAAAAGCATCATGGCGTATTTTTGCGAGCAATATCTCCGTCGTTTTAGCTTCGTTTACGCTGAACTTCGAGTATGTTGTAGCTGAGACAATAAGCTATCTTAAATTTGCCCTTTATTTTGTCTCAAATTTTAGTTAGACCAGCCCACCTATACTTGTTCAAAACAAGTATTACAAATCTAGTTATTATTATTATCATCAACATTGTCACCGGAGCAAGTGTCGCTTCAGGCGGAGCAACTGTTGGCGGAGCAATTGTCGGCGGAGCAAATGTTACCGGAGCAATTATCGCGTTTTGCTGAGCAATTGTCGGCGGAGCAATTGTTGGTGGAGCAAATGTCGGCGGAGCAATTGTCGGCGGAGCAAATGTCGGCGGAGCAACTGTCGTTCGAGGAGCATTTGTCACCGGAGCAATTGTCGCGTTTTGCAGAGCAATTGTCGGCGGAGCAAATGTTACCGGAGCAATTATCGCGTTTTGCTGAGCAATTGTCGGCGGAGCAATTGTTGGTGGAGCAAATGTCGGCGGAGCAATTGTCGGCGGAGCAAATGTCGGCGGAGCAACTGTCGTTCGAGGAGCATTTGTCACCGGAGCAATTGTCGCGTTTTGCAGAGCAATTGTCGGCGGAGCAAATGTCGGCGGAGCAATTGTCGGCGGAGCAAATGTCGCGCCAGCAATTGTCGCGTTTTGCGGAGTAAATGTCGGCGGAGCAATCGTCGGCGGAGCATGTGTCGGGTTACCACATTATTTCATGAAATGCATTCAGAAAATGAAAGTAAAAAAAACACGAAAATAACCCGTGAAAAAAAAATATTGTCGGCGAAGCATTTGTCGTAGTACTAGTAGCATTTGTATTTTATGGGACACTTTTTGAGCGGAACAATTGTCGGCGGCGCAAATGTCACCGGAGCATGTGTCGCTTCAGGCGGAGCAAATGTCACCGGAGCAATTGTCGGTGGAGCAATTGTCGGCGGAGCAAATGTCGGCGGAGCAATTGTCGGTGGAGCAATTGTCGGCGAAGCAAATGTCGGCGGAGCAATTGTCGGCGGAGCAAATGTCGGCGGAGTAACTGTCGTTCGAGGAGCATTTGTCACCGGAGCAATTGTTGCGTTTTGCGGAGCAATTGTCGGCGGAGCAATCGTTGGCGGAGCAAATGTCGGCGGAGAAATTGTCGGCGGAGCATATGTCGGCGGAGCAAATGTCGCGGAGCAAATGTCGCGGAGCAATTGTCACGTTTTTCGGAGTAAATGTCGGCGGAGCAATTGTCGGCGGAGCAGATGTCGGCGGAGCAAATGTCGCGGAGCAAATGTCGCGGAGCAATTGTCGGCGGAGCAATTGTCGGCGGAGCAAATGTCGCGGAGCAAATGTCGCGGAGCAAATGTCGCGTTTTGCGGAGTAAATGTCGGCGGAGCAATCGTCGGCGGAGCATGTGTCGGGTTACCGAATTTTGTTCACATTATGAATCTACATGGCATTCATCTATGAGCACTATCTTGCCTTTTTGTGCTCTATTTTCTCCCAAATGTTGGTATGATATAGCTGAGATTTTTAATTTCTTGATCACATGATCAGATCATGTCGAAATTTTCGCTTGAATGTTGAAATGATGAATATGTCACGTATGTCCTATTTGTGAAACTTAAACGTTAGCAGTGTCCTTGTATTCAAATTATGCAGGGAAACCCATTTACTTTCTAGACTTTACTGTCAGACACTATTGAGTAACTTCCTTTTTCTTTTGTAATAAAATACGTAAAATGAGCTTAATAGGGAACATGAGCATTTGTAAACATAAAAAACCCACTTCTTATAATGGCCCAAAATTAACTGATTGAATCTCGGCGTAGCACATAGGTAGAACATGACGGGTAGAGCATTTCATGGAATTAGATAAAATTGTTGAAATGCGTTCTTCATGACGTAAATTAGAGTCAAAGGTGTAACTGGTTACTGCACAGTGTCAATAGTCATCTTCCCTAGATCCATAATGATCAAGGGATCGATACAATTTAAACTTGATATATGGATAGATCATAATGGGAGAAGCATTTTATAAAATAATATGATATCGTGTAATGCATTCTTCGTTATGTAAACCAATACCATACGTATGACCTAATTCGTCTAAATGATGAATTCAAGTCTAGTGATCAATTGTATCGAATGCGGCTGAAAGATGAACAAGTGTCATAGGTACTACCTAGTTTAAATCGAGAGCAAACATGTCGTTTTTTACTTTAATTAGAGCTGACTCGGTAATGTGACTTGGCCTTTAAGCAGATTGAAATGAATCAAACGGATTATTAGATTGTTCTGCACTTAGAATAGAACACCAGTGAACTTACAAACAATTATGATTTCCTCTTAATGGTCCGTCATCAACACAAACATGCACATAATAGTTCATATTCTATCTAATTAACAACAGTTTACGAAATATAGTCATTTCACGGTAACATACAAATTATTTGGGAGTGCAAGAGAAGGGGTAAACACTACAGAGAGAGAGAGAGAGAGAGAGAGAGAAAGAGAGAGAACAGGGAGAGGATGTGTGCATATATAAGGAGAGAAAGATAGTATTTCCCCAAAACATTTAGCCTGATTTATAATTTATAATAAATAATAATATAATGAGTTCCTAATACATGTGCCATAATGCAAGATTATTGATCCTAACGAAGATATAAGTTGGGTTACTGATGCGTGACGTCATCTAGGCGCCAATTTTATTAATTTTGTTTATTGACCATTGTTATTTCCGTGAAACATTGTCAATTCTGAATGATTACGCGTGCGTCAAACTTTTAAATCGGTCCAAATTCGTATTAGACCAAAATAACACGTTTCAGACCTTATTAAGCATTAAAAACAATAATGTGCGTGTTCCGTCCGTAATGAATGTATGAATTCAATTTGTAAAACTTGTGTTGCTGATACTTTTTTTAGCAATTTGAAATCACTGTTAACCATTTTTGGCCTAAATTTAAGTCATAGACGTTTATGTTAAACCTCATAATTGACGCACGCGCTAATGAATGCAAATATTCCTAAAATGGTAACAAAAGTACCTATTTTTAATCGACGATAACTCTTCAGAATGGCAGGTAACCCTTATATTGTTATGTTATGTTCTGACAGGGTAAGGAGATGCGACTTCATGTATCACGTTTCTTGTTAGAATGTTTTAAAGTCAAAACAGTGCCACTTAAAGGAAAACAATTGAATATAATTCCATTTGGTAATATTTTGTCGAGGTTGTTTTGTATACATATATTTATTTTCCCCATATTCTATTATTTTGTGTCTTAGATCTTATTTATACAACTTTAAATTATAGGAAGTATAATACCCAATGCAATTTCATGGTAACATTTTCGCGCCGTCCCTACCCCCCCCCCCCCCCCCTCCCACCACCAGCACTACCAGTATTTGTCGATTTATGAATCGGCTAGGACAAAGGCTACTTTCATATAATTCATCCAAGCTTAATAAGGAGATAAAAAATATTGTATTGAAATATATTTAGCAACACTAATGGTGTATACTGATTGTTTTCAATTACGCTTATATTATTTGTTCCTATGTTTAATATAATGTTTATAATGTATATAACAAAATTAAGGCTTTTACTAGAATATAATCAAGATAAAAGATGGTCATACAGACTGAGTAGTACGGAGCATAGGTTGGGTAATTTGGAGGGTTGCAGAATACCAAGTACTTACATTGTTTTTGTTGAATTTCAATCAATTTGTATGTCAGTCTTTATAGTAGTAATAATAATGATAATAATATGTCTTGTTTACCCAGTGTAGCCTCATCAGTATTCATACTGTTCTCCCTGAGGGCCCTGCAATCATATTATTACCCCGGTCATCGGATTCAGGCTTAGCCGCATACAATGTATGCACATTCTCCACTTCCTGGGGGGCATTCCAGCCAGTGCATCATTTTTACAAGGGCACACTTGCTAATCTAAGCACATTAGCTTTCGCATCCTACCGGATACCCATTTAAGACCTGGGTGGAGAGTGGCAAATGTAGATCAATGTCTTGCCAAAGGACATTAGTACCGCGGTGGCACTTGAACCGCGGACCTTGTGATCCACAGTCCGATGCCTAATCCACCCGTCCACGAGTAGTGGCTAATTTTGACCGTACCGTAACCTTAAATGGCTCTGATTTTATTCCAGTCCAATCGTAAGCTCAAAATACATTAAACTACGAGACTTTTAAATGTCTGAGTGTTTAATAATTACTAATAACTTATATTTCATAAATTTCGTAAAATGATATTACTGTATTGCTGCGTTAGCATGACTACCATGGTAAAGGCAACACAAGCCACAGCTGGATTCTAATTACTTGGATTCATATCATTTGTATGACATGTCCCTTAGGGGAGGTGTGGTCTGGATCGTGGACTAAAAATATATATTCCAAAATGAAGCATACTTACCCGTTCCGCTACCGATTCCCAGAGACCTCCCGCATGAAATCCTCGTCTTGTTATCAAATATATTTTGAATGATGTTTGGGAACTCCTCGCTCGCCCATTTATTGTACAGTTCGATCTTTCCTGACTTCTGTTCGAAAATGTCGTAGCACCGTTTGTAGTGGGCATGGTTACGAGAAATTGAAGCTAAAGACGTTTCCATTGCAATTTATCAAGGACCTCCAGCAGGCAGTATTGCATTGGGTTGAGTAACCGAAAAGTGACCTATGCTGCGGTGCGTACGTCCCCTTAGGTGTTTTGTAGTTGAGTATTCCACCTTATGTTATATACAGTACATCATATTGCTCCGATTGTCTCATTTTAGCTCGCGTGAACTTTGCCAGCACAAAACACTGACCTCTATCTCCTGGACGGATCATCGCCCATTCCCATTTACTATACGTTACGTACTAAAAGGCTGTATTGTCTGACCGTTCATGAATATTCATGTTTTTGCTAAACTCGGCAAAATGCCATTCCCATAAGCAAAACTGTTTATTAACTTTAAAACACAGAATAATCTTACTCAATCTCATATGTCAGATCTATTTTGTAATCACATTCCGTACACTTCGATCATCATCAAAACACCTTCATGCGATACACCCTGTTTATATTCAGACCTATGGAGACCGATCCTTTGTGGTTTCATTTCCAGCTCTGTGAAATTATCGGCCACCGTGGATCAGGAAGACATGTTCCCTTTTTGATGTTAAGACAGCTTTAAAGACATACCATTTTTAACAGTGTAACAATTCTTGTTTCGATGTGTATGTGTGCATGTAGTGGTGTTTTTTTTGTATCCTCTTACATTTTTTGATGTAGATTGTAAAGCGTACTCTGTTAATGTGAAGCGCATAGATAATCAATTTTAATTTTTATCCGCTAATAAATCGAAATGCATTATTATTATCATTTTCTTAGCAGGAGCATGGCATTTTCAAATCAACGCGAATTCGAAGACGATAATAACATTTCGAGATTGGGCGTTTTATCTGAGCGGTCAGAAGGTTTTAAACAGTGGGTATTTGGACAGCTAGAGTCTCGTCAATGTCACCATATATTGGAAGCTGCATGCGGTACAGGGTACGTAAATTATATTTTTAAATATTAGCACCTATTAAGCATTCCCGGTTTAAAGATAAAAAACAGTTATGATAAGCTATCCTTAAAGATGAAGTTGAGTTATGGTCATGCGATTGCATTGTGAAAGAAACATTGTGAAATCGATCAGAAAAGGTTGATCATCTAGCATGTAAGTATTGGTGTGTACTACAAGGTTCTGGAATCATCAAAATGATAAGAAATTTAGCTCAGTCGTGGTAAAGTTACAAGCACTGTACACAGAAAGATGTATATGGGACGACGCCCACGTGCGCGACACATGCGTTTATCTCTCTTTTAACAATAGCTCAACAAATTTACCAAATATATCCTGGCAAAATTTGTATCATCATGTATTAGTTAAAACATACTCTTTCACCGGCATGATTGGGAATAGGAGCTTCCATTTCATTTTTTGAAATTAGGGCGTTTCCAATACTGGTATTTTCTTTTAATGGTGTTTTAGTACATTTTGTTCATGTTCTTTTTTGTAGCAAAGGATAATATTTATGAAGTCTCAAAACCTGTGTAAGTTTAACCCTCGGTGAAATTTTATTTAATCTCTGAAAGGCGACGATACAATGCAATTCAGTTTACCTTTTTAACTACACGAGAGAATTATACATTTTGTTTCATTCTGGTGATGGTTATAATTACACAATTTGCATTGAAAATCCCGGTAAAGTTATATTACCTAATGATAGTATAACACCTGTTGGGAAGCTAGACACGTATTATACAGCTGGTGTGGGAGGCATTGGCTGAAGTTAATGTAGGTGAATAATTTGGTTTACTTCTGCACTTGTGATTCATGAGCTGGCTGGGGTTGATACTAAAACTTCCAGATAACAGTGCAGCAATGTCCGGTACTGTTTACCTGTTGTTTCTATTCTGGTAAGGTCAGGCTCGCTTTTATACCTAGTTGCTTATATGTCATGCAATGTCGCCTTTCTCCGGTAATATTACCTTGTGTTGCCATACAATTTATTTAGTTTGATGGAATTGAATTTGAATTTTTTCACCACTTATACCAACAAGAAGTCTAAGAATAAAATGTGTTATTTCGCCCCAATATGGCTTAGCAAATACAATGGGACGGACAATATTCTAACGGAATTTAAAGTAGTTGTATCCTCAATACTGTCACGAAATTGGTTTTATTTCGTAGGTAGCTTGTTTAGAATCAAGAAAATCACTTTTTAATTTGTTTCCTCATATCTTCGGCGTAGATGGCGTAATTGTAGTTAGATGTCAAAAAGATTCGATTATATACAGTATTTCCTCCGTAGGAGGATTAGAGGGACAACTAAAATGGTGAACTTTGACATCTATAGGTTTTGCATTGGATGCATCTTTCTTTTCTTTTTTGTCCGATTTGAACGACGATTTTGGAGGGTCAATGTTTATTCATGAGCAATGACGTCAAAAATACGCCAATTACTGTTTGTAGATTGTCCATAAACAAAATCTTTTATGTTTAGGTCATGCATAATTTTTTTTTTTAATTCCTATAACTCCCTACGATTTGAGCACGAAAATGGCATTGGTATGCAAAAGAAATGATTTATATGATCGTTTGCATGTCTTTTCATCAGGAAACCTAAGATGGATTTATTGTTTTGGTTGACGACAATGGTTAGAACTGTGTTTGTTGGGTCTTGCGCATTCCAGCATAGGACAATACCAGAGGTTGCCCTTTCGGTGGTCCAGTTGTCGGTAGGGACTACTGTGTAGCAGAGTCAGTGGCATTGTAGAGTAAGCTGGCTATACAAACCACATGCATACGGTTATGCGCGCCGTTTGATCAAAAATTATTTGTCGATAAAAACTATTTTTATCTCTCGATAAACATAGTTTCTCTCGATAAACACTTCTATCTGCGATAAACACATTTTATCGAGATAAACACTGTTTATCGAGCGATACACACCGTTTATCGAAAAGCAGAGTTATTTGTATTTCGTCAGGAGTGGGCGCTCTTGAAAGTTGCACCCAAAGAGATTCGACCATACATATAGTATGTCCTCCGGAGGAGGACTAGAGGGGCAGCTAAATTGTGACCTTTGATACCGCTTTGGATGCATTGTTATTTGAATGATTTTGGAGGGTCAATGTTTATTCACGAGCAATTACTTACAAAATAAGCCAATTACTTAAATTTGAGTTTCAACGTTTATTTTCCTTGCTTCTTCAAAATCATATGAGAAATATATTCCCAAAACTTGTATTCCCTTCTCTGGCCGTGTAAAAACACTTTCTTTTTCACGTTGATGTCTTTTTTTTACCAATCCACATGCCTTCAGTTTTAGATTTATTTATACAAAGAACGGACATTTTCATCTCAAAAGTTTCCAGTTTATCTCAGTCAGTTTTACTTAACGTCCAGGTCTCTGACCTGTAAGTGGCTATAGAACGAATGAGAGCTTTATATATCCTGGCCTTCAAGGCTTTTGAAATATCTAAGTTGATCAATATATTGTTTCTCAGTCTGCCAAATGCCCAGGAAGCTAGGTAACTATTAAAGGGGATTACACTTTCAAGGAAGACAAAGTTGTTTACCTTCTCTATATAGGATTGCCATCTACTGAAATCTCCACATCATCGTTTGCCATGATTCTGCATTTAGCTGTGTTGATTTTCATTTCCCATATACCACATACTTCCACCAGCTTGTTAGTCGATGTTTGGAGTTTGCCGTAGATGCGTTCGAGTAGAGTGGTGTCATCTGCATAGCGGAGGTTATTAATGCGTATGCCACTCATCTGAAACCCACTGTGTAGGTGTTTGAGATCTGTCATCACCAACTTTAAAAGAATGTTAAACAGACTAGGGGAAAGAAGACAACCTTACCTGACGCCTGTCATAACTTTGAACCATTCCGTAACTTTATCATTAACGATGACAGCACGTTTGATCCGATCATACATATAAGTTATGAGGTCAATCAGGTTATTATTAACTCCGATTGAAAGAGAGCACTTCCATAGATCTTCCGACCAGACAGTATCGGATGCTGATTTGAAGCCAACACAGTTCCTATGAATGGGGTGTGTCTCTCTTTGGCCTTCCTCAGCACTTGTCTGACAATGGAAATAGCATCAGTGGTTCCTCTGTGGCTTCAGAATCCACACCTGCCTCATTGCATGATATTAAACCTTCACACGAGGCATTTTCTGATTATGTTCACTGCTCAAGATGACTTTAAGAACTATATCCTATACAATCCTCTTGATATACCAGATCTCTGTTCTCCACAAATTTCTAAAACGATTCTCTGATAAAACATTTGATTGTTTGCTTGTTTCCTAAATACGCCCATCATTTGTATCCGACACATTGATACATTGAATTGAATTGAACTGCATTTGTTTCCAATCACAATACAAATGGCATTATACATTGTTGTAATACATACACAGGCAAAGAAAAATACAGTGAAATATATGCATTTGTTAAACAAACTAAACAATTTTTTTTTTAAAGGAAAAGAAGAAAAAGAAGAAGAAGACATGATTGAATCTACTGAGAGTATAGGATGGATAAAGGTGCATCCGTAAAAGCCAAATGAGCTTGATGAATGTGCGCACCCTTAGCGCGTCAGAATATATTTTTTACCCAGGCTTTTCTTTAATGATGAACGATATGTATTACTTGTATCAACCTTTTCATACCAAGTACACCTTGACCTCAGAATTGCTCCATCAGCAAAATATTCATACATGTTATGTTATTCCTCTTCAATATGTTTTTTTTTTCTAATTAAAGTTTCTTCTTTCAAACTCTCCACTTCCATTTCGCTTATAGAGTATGTAAACATTAACACAACATAATTTCGTTGAAATATCGCATCGTGGAAAATTGTTATGTAAATCGCTTGATATCGACCATACCACTTTTAAATTTGATTTTGTTCCTTATACAGTGGTGATTCTTTGCTTCTTCTGAAGAAAGGCTACAACGTCGTCAGTTCTGATGGTTCTCAGGCCATGGTCAACTACGCAAAAAACGCCAGAGAAGAGCAGCAAATCGAAACCTGGGGTAAGATGAACGTTTGCATTTTTGTTTAGCGTTTACCTGTCCTGTTCTGAATATCCTCTACCACAATCAACAAAATAATATTTGAATGAATAAATATGTTATCCAAAGGAATATATAAACACGCCCACATTGCAGAAAGAAAGAATATAAAACCTTTACCACACCCGATTATATAATGTTTTGATTTCTTATAATCTGTGGATTGGTAAAGCGATAAATGTGTTATGGATGTCGAAAGTATTTTGTACATACAATGCAGTTGGTTATTTTACCTAACTGCTAAGAAAGCATAAATGCTTGTTTAAAGTAAGCAACCAGACGGCCGACGGCTCTAGGTCCTCTCCGAGGGACCTGGTAGTGAGGATAAATGCCTTACCAAAGGGCACTAGCGCACCGCCTTGGTTTCGAACCCGGGTCACCGGATTACGAGACCACCACAGTTTTACCAGCTGAGCTATCGTGCCTCCTGTAAAAATAGGTAATATTACACTTTTTTCTCGGGTACTACAATATTTATCGATGCATCTAAACACATACATTTCGAACTATTTGAGTGTTCAACTCAATTTTCTTTTCGTATGATTTAGATATACTTCAGGCCAATTGGTTAACGCTGAAAGACGACCTTCATGTGTATGGGGGATTTGATGCTGTGTTGTGTTTATCAAGTTCTATGGTCTGTCTCATTGATTCTACACCAAACTTTGACCTTTACCGCCGGTCCTTCGAGAACTTCAAATCCATGCTCAAACCAGGAGGAGTTCTTTTGATTGACCACAGGAACATGGACGTCATCATGGACCACGGTAGACCTATCAACAAGAACGTTTATTTCAAGGTAGTTCGCTTATTGTAAACTACACTATCTTAATACGATAAACACAAAGTGGGTAATTAACAAATAGTTCTACTCACACTTCCATATAAAAAGGACGCTTGCAGTGGTCAACTGTACACTATCCATACACATTCAAGTGGATTATTTGATCATTTTAATTGAGTAGCATGGTTTATTCAAATACTTCACCTCACTTAACAATTAACAACGAAACCCTACGGTAACTTAAGTAATTACGCATTCCTAAAACAGGATCAAATAATATCTTAACATATTGCACTAAGAGATTTTGCTACAGAAATACAAACAAGAAGGAAAGGGATTGAGGATGAAATTGCAAGATCAAGATCAAATCTTAAGTTTACAAGGGATGTAGCATTCGATGTGCCTCATGTAGATGGCAATTTAATTTTCAATTTACAATAGTATACCAAATTAAATTTAATTGTAATATTCTTCACTCTGCAACAACAACAAATAGACACTCTTTTATTGTTCAAAATTGTATAATAAACCATTAATTAAAAACGATAAGATACATATCAAATTAAAGAAAATGTAATACTCTAACAATCTCAATCAAAATCAAACTTGTCACACGTATATGGACATATTTATTTGACAGTAAGAATGTACAAATGCATACAGTTGCAAAAATAAAGCAAGTATCCATGCGAATCTTCATTAACATGTTCTTTCTATGTCACACTACGTTCTTTTTAAGCAATGAAAACAATGCATGAGAAACAATGTGGATTGAGCTACGGATATCCACTGTAGCTTTAGGACTACATGATTTTGAAAAGAATGGACACAGTGCACCTCCTTTTCACCTAAGTTTTAGAAGTTTTCATACTCTTCTCTTCTCTTTTTTGTATTGCTCTTGTGTGTGTGTGCTTGTATGCATATTCGTGGTTGATACCGGCTGTAGTTAATGTAAGTTTTTTTTATCTTCTAAAAATACATACCTTGTAAACTTTATTGTTGTGGCAATTTGATGTAAAGGGTAGTTGAGTTTTGTTGAAGAGGGGGTTACAAAAATAATTTTGTTGTCAGATAATTAAAAACTCAAATTTGAAAGAGCACACAATTCAAATGACAAAATCATATTTCTTTGATCAAAAGCGGTTCATATATTCATAAATATAACCATTTCTAATATTTGTCGGGCACCAAAAATGTTCGATAATTTTTAACCATCTGTTGAAAAGACGAAATACCGCGTTTATTCCAGCTAATGCTAATGTTGGCTTTTTGTGGCTTTTCGTGTTCGTTATAATACGCACAACCAGCCGGCCCGTGTATTGTCAATTAATTCATTAATTAACGGTCACCGTTGTTTGGGAAATTGGAGAAGAATAAGTTTGATCATATTTAATCTAAATTTCACACATTGTGAGGTCTAAAATTACCTTCATAGTAATTTTAGTACCTAAAAGGGCACTAGAAATGTCAACAATAAGAATAGGATAAAAGACCGTGCTCTTTGAAAGCATTTGCGATCTTAATCAAGAAATCAATGATATCGTTCAGTTTTTTTCTTTAAAAGAGGCATCATTTATAAGCAAATATTTCCTCATCGAGATTCTGAACTATTTTGTATTCTGTATTTATATTATTTGTGTATGATGTCAAATAAATTGATTTGAATTCACAATCATGGACATGCCACATGATACTTCTATTGCTCGTGAACATATATTATAATAATAATAATAATAATAATGGTGGCTTCTTATATAGCGCACATGTCCGTCACGTTGTGACGCTCCTGGCGCTGCCCCGATTATTACCCTGGCTTTGGCAAGGCAGCCACTGCGGCGCACTAGCATTTCAAGGAATTAATTCCAGCCAGGTACCCATTTACATCACCTGGGTTGAGTGTGGCAAAGGAGATCAATGTCTATGATGGCCAATATTTCCTTCAAGCAAGCCCCCCCCCCCCCCCCCCCCCGCCTGCCTCTCACGCAAAACCTCCTCTTTTGTTTGTTTATTGTAATTAAAGTATCATTTCATACTTTTTTTTTCATGCATACTCTTGCCTGAAGTACAACACTATATCTAAAATGGCATCGGAGGTCTGCAAATGTCCAGGAAAACCGGATGTGACGAACATTACATACGATATGATCCAGGAATCCGGTAAAAGCGATAACTGTGGTTCACGAAAGGGACTCATTGAAAAGTAAATATTTTATTTATATACGTCTTTTTCTATTGGTTGCTTTCCCGTTCATTATTTATGTTCTGGACAAGTTTAAGTTGCATGTTATAGATGTTTTGTTGCTTTTGCAGACCTAACAATATGAAGATTCATGAAGTTATCTCTATCTCTCTGCGGTAATCTGAAAAGAGCGATAGATTTTAATATTATACAAGGAAAGTCCCAAATCGTAATGATTGTAGCGTGGATTTTCATTACTACTATAATTATCAAAAATAAAGTAGATGTTTTTTAAATTTTAATTACCATTATTTCTACAACCTCTCCACCTTGCTGTGTTTACGCATTCTTCATTGTCTTCTTGTTCTCCTTTTTTTCCTTTTTTTTTATTCAATCAAGAACATGGTCACACAAAAGTTGTACAACGTTTGATGTTGCAGATGAATAAACACACTCATTGTTCAAACATTATTAGTAATACTACCTCTATTAATACTACTACTACTATTACTACTACTACTACTACTACTACTACTACTACTACCACTACTACTATTATTATTATTACTACTACTACTACTACTACTACTAATACTAATACTACTGTTACAACTACTACTACTACTAAACTACTACTACTACTACTAATGTTACTACTACTACTACTACTACTACTACTACTACTACTACTGCTGCTACTTTTACTACTACTACTACTACTACTACTACTACTACTACTACTGTTACTACTACTACTACTACTACTACTACTAGTACTACTACTACTACTACTACTACTACTACTACTGTTACTACTACTACTACTACTACTACTACTACTACTACTACTACTACTACTACTGTTACTACTACTGTTACAACTACTACTACTACTACTACTACTACTACTACTACTACTATTTGGAACGATAATTATGAAAATGAGAACAATGGCAATACTAAGTAAGTAAGTAAGAGAGAGTAATTCTTTATAACCAATTAACCGTAATTTGTTTACACAGAGTGACGATCCCATTGCAACCCATCCGTGCAACAAAATTTGCCAGTATTCTAGCTGAGGTTTTCGGAGAAGATTGTGAACACGCCCTCTACGCCGATTTCAAGCCAATTAAGGAGGTTGATTCACCTGCATATTATCAATATGTATTTCAAAAGACAAAGTAAAACAATGCATCCAATTTCTTAGTCATTTAACCCTACCTAATCATTTTAACTTTCACTCTACCCTGTGTTTTTCTTTCCTATTAACCGACTACATAAAACTGGAATTTGATCGTAGCTTGTGTGGACCCTCCTTGTAAATCGTAGCCTGTTTGCGCTCGCATTATCAACAGTGTTGGCGTTTCTATGTTCGTGCCATTTGTGTACTTAACTTATCCGGGGCGAGCTATAACCCATTATTATTGTGGCATGTGGCAAAAAGGCACTATGTTTGTTGTAGAAATTTCAACCATCATAGATTATGTTACTTCTTAATCCATATTGGAGAATGACACTAATCCTGAATCTGTTCGGTTTGCCCAACTCCTGGAGGATAATAACCCGATACAGCAAGTTTGAGGCAGCACACATATGTCGGGACATACATTCGAACTTATAATTGCTATATGAGATAATAATCCAAACTAAGTTAGTTCTGTAACTTAGGCCTGTATCAGGAAGAAAAAAAGATGAGGATATATAGAACGACAGAAAGATGTCTGTGTAGCGACCATTTTGAAATGTGGATAGAATAATAATGATAATAATAACGGTGCTTATAAAGCGCTTACCGCCGCAAGATCGACATCGGTCCCATATGCACTACTACTACGTCTTCTACTCCAACTAATACTATTTTTTCTACATGAACTACTACAACTAAGAAGAAGAAGAAACAAGAGAAAAAGGAAGAAGAACGAGAAGAGAAAGAAGAGGGGAAGGCGACGGGGAAGCAAGAATGTAATCATTTTTTTTTTTATTTATTTATTTATAACACATCTTTAAAAAAGAAGGGTAGCCCAATCAGCAAACAAATACTGGTTTTCGTTGAGGCCCTTCATGACACAAACAAGTATATACATTTCATCAACATATCAAAATATAAATAAATATAGAAAATTACAAAATTCGATTTTAACAAACAAAAAATTGCAAACCAGGTTATAAATAAGGATTTGATTATAAAGAATAACGAAATGATTAAAATGTATATGATACAAATATAAAAATATAAATAAATATAGAAAGTTACAAAATACGATTTTAACAAACTAAAATTGCAAACCAGGTTATATAAAAGGATTTGAACATAGAGAATAACGAAATTAGTAAAATGTATATGATACAAATATGTAAATGCCATATATCCTATTGAAGCAAACAGTAAAAAGTTATTAAAACAAAAACAACAAAAAACAAAAAAAACAACAGCAACATACAACCACAATAACAAACCAACAAGAGAAAACAAGAAGAAGATATGATAAAATATATAAAAAGAGGAGAAAAAGAAGAGTTATATCATACCATAATCATATTAAAATGTGGATGTCTTTTGCCTTTTTGCCAATTCTTGTTTAAATGGTTTCATATTTTTTATAAATCGAATACGTTCGGGTAATTTATTCCAGTTTGATGGACCTGTGACAAGAAATGACTTCTGATAAAAGGTCGTACGAACATGTGGCATCCTAATTAGCATCTTATTTGTGCTCCTTGTTCTCCGAGATGATATCGCTTCAATATAAATAAACTTATCACCTAGTACTTCAGGTGCAGCTTTATGTAAGCATTTATGAATCATGCAACAAGATGCTCTAAAAAACAGATGATCTACTTTCGGCCAGGATAGAATTTCAAACACTTGTTCAGATGGGGTTTCCCAGGAAAAACGAGATATCATATATGCTGCCCTCTTATGTAATCTTTCCAGTTTACTATGGTTTGCTTCAGATCTCCCAGACCAAACGGTACAACAGTACATTAAATGGGGCACTACAAAAGCCCAGTACAGTTTGTTCAATTGTGCTTTATCAAAATAATGTTTACATCGACGAATAGTTCCTAATTTCTGTTTTACAGTTAAAGCAATACTTTCGGTATGTTTTTTAAAGTCAAGACTGTTATCAATTATAACTCCCAAACATTTATATGTATATACACATTCCAATTGGCATCTATTTCTCTCATTTCTTCTTTACTACGCTCTAATACAAATTGTAGGTAATACACCATTAAAGGTACTACAAAGTTTTGGTATGGGGTCATGAATTTGGTTCAAATTAACATATTGGAAGCATATGCGTTCCTACAATATTCATTGATCGTTGTCGCGGTTGAAATTGAGTCTAAAGTTATGAAATATTAAATAATAAACTCTTTATGTTGTATAGCTCCCTCTCAAGGTCAAGATATTAATTTAGCTATGGAACAATGTTTCTTGACTAAAATCGACCGATTAGCTATTTCCGTTTGGAAATTATATATCACTACTACATATTCTGAGATTTTCATGGTCGCAGCTACCATTGTACGGCCATAGGCGCTATTTGAAATTCATCAAAATTTACCGGGAGCACCGGTAAATTTTTATATTCAATTTTTCTCGAAAACAGAAGTGTTTTAGGGGCTAATTTTTTAGTGCTTATAATTCATCCCCAGGGGCATCCAAATATATCAAAATTGTAAAGATTCACTATCCACCCAATTTTCAAAATTTCCCAAAACTTTGTATTACCTTTAATCTGTGTGGTTGTACTGAAGCGTCGTCGAAAATATTTAATATGATTTTATACAAAATTACGATTGTTATCTCTGTAATACCATTATACACATGATTATCTTGTAACTATAAATGTACTGATATTTTTTTTAACGTAGCTACATCCATGATAAATAATAAATGACAAAGCAAAGAAAAATATACGGTAGTCTATTGCGTTTATTAATTCGCGTTTCAATTTAGGTTAAAAACAAAATGGAGTCTTGTCAAGGCGAACAATAATTTGTGATTTTTCTCATTAAAACAAAATGTTTGTTTGAAAGAAAGAAAGTAATATGACAATGAAATTTAAAAAAACATGCAATGGATTGCTTTGCAAATTCAATTTTATGGACATTTATTTATCGGACTAACATATTGCTTCGTTTAGTCTCATTTGACAACGCCCCTTATCGTCAGAGTCATCAGCCTAACATGTTAGCATATGGACGTTTACAAAAAAAAAACGTTAAAAATTCATTTTTTTTTGTTTTAACGAAAAGCACATCCATCCCGACGTACGTTATCACTAGCTCTTTCATTGGAACCCTCATGTCTCATTGACTTTTGAAAGTTCACCCACCGTAATTTGATCAAAATAGGTTGCAAGCAGATGTGAAACAGATGTGAAACAGGTCGAACTTTGGTCTTAATTTGCCATGCGATTGTAAGAATTATAGATCAAGCACACGAAGGATGAGAATCATGAATTATCATAGATCACTTCTGCTTGGTTCATTATGTCCATTGTATCCAACCCCCCACCGTAATGTTTCCATTTAGTAAAAGCAAACATTTTGCCGAGGAAAGCAAAAACATGAATATTCATGAACGGTCAGACAATACAGCCTTTTAGTACGTAACGTATAGTGAATGGGAATGGGCGATGATCCGTCCAGGAGGTAGAGGTCAGTGGTTTGTGCTGGCAATGTTCCAGCGAGCGAAAATGAGACAACCGGAGCAATATGAAAATGTTTGGACCTTACATTTATGTAACGTGTGTCCCGAATTTTCCATTTCCATGGTGGGCAGTGCATGTGCCGTTTATCATCATTAATTTGGTTATTCCAAAAATCGACACAGTACAAACAACTTTATTTGTATTTAATAAACATATTGCTTCCAGATGGTTTATTAGATTATTAGAGTATTGACCAGAATTTAACTCTATTCTATCTTTTACTGTATGTTATAACTGCATTTCGTGAGTTTTGTTTTCTTCCTTTGAACGTTATTCAGTTATTTATTTTTTGTAATAGTTTTTTTTAAATATCTTTAATGAAATGAGGCTTGGATTAATTATCAACAGGATGTCGGATGTCCCTATTTCCATAGATAATATAAAGGGTTTGTTTAATTAAAAATCATCTCGCAGCCCGAAGGCTGAATTGTGTGACTTTTTATAAATTGATAAAAACATTACAATACGATAAATACATGTGAAATCAAACATTACATGATATAAATTACAAATTTGTTTAATTTTATCGTAAAAATATAAATTATGAAGATTTATATAAACGTGAACATGCAATAATATTTCCACACCGATATCCACTTATTTCTAACGGGTTGTGTTTGTTTGTAACCATGCAGACCGGCTTTTAAAATAGTTAAATAGCACTGCCGACAAATATTCACTTTTATAATCTACTGAGTAGATTATAAAAGTGAATATTTGTGTGATTTTAACAGATTAAAAAGACCAGTAAAATACAGTGATACATTGAAAATTTACTTTAATTTGGCAGAGAATGCGTTAAGATTTATAAATGCAAAATATAGATATACATTTAATATTCATGGGTTTAATACGGATCATGTGCTGATCGGTTTGTAAACGGGGCAAGCTATTTCAAATCGTTACAATAGAGACAAATACAGAGTGACGGATACAATAGGAGAGAAGGGGGACAATGAGAAAGAGAAAATAAAGAGAGAGCATAGGAGAGAGAGAGAGAGAGGGGGGAGGGGGAGAGAGGGAGAGAGAGAGAGAGAGAGGGGGGATACAGAGTGCTAGATACAGAGTAGATAACGGAAGAGGGGAAAAAGTTTATCAGTTACGATTGATACAGCAATGATTTGTCAATTAACTGGATAGAATTCATTAAAAATATAATATCATGTTACAAATTGGTACCAAAAAAAAAATATATTAACTTTGAAAGCAAGCCCGCGTACGACGATTGTTTCCCCTGTGACGGAGCGATTCGGTAATGAAATGAAATGAAAAAATTGGCGGGGCTTTCTACTTTCATTGCTTATTGTGCCTCATTCAGTTTTTTCGTGATTTTTAGTAAATAGTAAAAATTGAAGATCAGCCTTTTTCCTTTCTAAAAATATAAGTTTTGTTCATCAATACGAAAAATAAGGTCTGTTATTTTTGAGGGAAATTGCTGTCTTATTTTGCATAAGCTTCACGTCTTTCCTTTTCAATACACTCACAATACAAATTGCGTAAGCACCGCCGCACGCGCAGATTGGTCGATACTTCAATTAAATCCCCCATTGTTAATGATCAACCGAGCTATACATAATAGGCCTAAGCCTTCGTTTTACATGGGTTTTCGACACATTTTAAAACTATATTCTGACCAACAATATGCCATGATCTACACTAAATGCCCTTTCTTTTAAATGTGCAAATCAAATATAGGACTATTTGGGAAATGAATTTTGAGATGAACATCGTTTTAATCGCGAAAATAAAAATAAGATTTACTTTGAATGCTTTCGATTTCGTTTCTCATAATTTGAAATATTCATTTTGCCATCTAAAAAAAAGCCGTCGTGTGCCTTATCATATTATCATCTTACCACTATTACTAAATATATTTTATGGAATAAAAAGACACACAAATCCCATTTATCAGGATAGCCATTAAACAGCTAGACTGGTTTTGG